GAGAAGTGTTCCAGCACAAGAAGCAGCACGAATACATGCTGACAAAGACCACCATCACCACCAGCCGGCACACAGCACACTGTTCTTCAAACACCATCCACTCCGTCCATGTGTTTGCACTGTCCTCCTCTAGCTCTTCACGCTCAACAAATAACACGCACTGCTCATCGTTTTTTTTTATGCTTCCTCTGGGTTGGCTAGCCCTTCGACTTGACAAAACAGCGATTACCACTGCACTGCTATCGTCACCTCATAGCAGTCGCTTCCACCAGTGGCTTTTCCTGTCTTTGCAAGGTGTCCAAGGATGGCTGCTGTTGTCACTACAGGCAAATCAGAAGTACTTTAGTGGCTGATGTCCAACCAGATCGTTGGAAAATCGATTTTCCACTTCAGGGCTGTTGATCGCGACTTGGTGACTTGGCAGCACCACGGTTACCTTCATAGAAGATGGCTCTGGAGAGGAAAAGACAGACCAGAAAAGGTTACTATTATCTTCAGCACCGATCGCAAGGAGAAAGAAATAATAAATATTATGGTCTGCTGTAGCCTAGGCACAAAATAAATCTCACAACACGATTCGCGATTCGAATATTTCAACAACAAAAAAACTCACCTCTGGAGTAACTCCTGTTTGTGGCCCGAGATCGTTCCCTCCCGCGCCTTGAAAAAATCCTGCAGCGGCATCACAGTCCATGTCTCTCTCGGAGACTCTGCTCCTACCAGCAGGAGGTTTAGCACCGCTCGAAGCCATCGCAAACTACTTGAACTAAGCAGAAGACATTCCAAAACAAACCTGAAACACACTGTCAAATATGCTGTCACGTTCAAAAACTAGCTCGATCGCGAGTGAGGTTGCCCCCGTGCTCGAACCCAGTATAATAAGGGGATCGGTCTATTGTATTGCAAGGCCCGCTGACAGGCATGACCACTCGAGGTCAGTTGGGACGCAACCTTCCACTCCCCCTGGCCCACAGTGCTTCTGGCGCATGCCGACCGCTTCGAGCCAGCTGTCGACTCTGGAATGGCCTGCCCGACTCTATGAAGTCCATAGTATCTGTCCGTGAATTCAAACGCATGCTACGCGTATTTTACTTTGGTTAAACTTAATGGCTTTCGTAACCTGCTGATGAGGCTCGATAGAATCATGCTACGATGACCCGACTTGTAAATTTGAGATACATTTTTTCTGCTCGTCTTGACCCTGCCTCCCCTCATCGCTACTTCCATTTTCGTATTTTTATTTTCATTTATTTTTCTCTTCATTTCTGACTCTTCTTACTGGATGTCATCGCTTTCATAATATTGGGCAGAATTGCCAGTTTGCCATGCAATGTAAAATAATAAACAACAACAACAACAACAACAACAACAACAACGCTGTCACCTCCAAACCAGCTAGTCGCAAGCCAGCGCTGGGCACAACAGTACGAAATAGTGGTTGCGACTTCAGCAATGGATTTTACGAATGGGGTTGCTCCCACACTGGAGCTCGCGCTATTCCGCCGAATTAACTTGACTGACTCACCGCTGCCATCCAGAGCACACGAGAAGTCCATCGAACCTTTGACTCGGCAAACTTGCAAGAAAGCACCACTCCCTGCTCCATACACAGTGTTTCGGGGAATTCCCCCAGGCTCATCAGTTGAGCTTGAGTAGGCTGAGGAAGATTGTGCCTGAAGAGTACCACTTACATGTGCATAGTGCTGTCCAGGCACAAACATCACCATGGATACAATCTTACAGATACGCTCTGTTTCCAGGGATAAGAATACTACCAAGTAAAATAGCCCAACCTCCAGAAATGCTCAGGAAATGACAGAAATTGTTAATACCTGCACGCCGCCCGCACATTCACACTATCACAGCCAGAGGAAAAGAAAACAACAATAATGTTAATTTTGCTCCTGAATTGTCCTCCCTGTTGCTTTGCTACCGTCCTCCTTCTTCTACGAGGCGTCATACATTGGCACTATAAAAAATTAAAACAATGGTGAGGACAACAAGAGGTGCATACTGGTTACATGGTGATAATCAGTCACACAAAGTGAGAGAGAAGCGTAAGAGAAGTGTTAAGGGTTTTTTATTGTTAATGTATGCCGCCTCGTGCTCTCCTCTCCTCCCTTCTGTAGTGCCAATGTCTCAATGCTCCACTTTTATAGTATGCTACAGAGCCAGTTTCATTACTACTCCCTGATGAAGCCCCAAGGGCGAAAATTTGGAGATTTCATTTCTTTTTAATAAAATTTGCAGCGTCAACGACCTTTGTGTAGTAGTGATGACTGATCTTAACAACAACAACAACAACAACAACAACAACAACAACAACAACAACAACAACAACAACAACAACAACAACAACAACAACAACAACAACAACAACAACAACAACAACAACAACAACAACAACAACAACAACAACAACAACAACAACAACAACAACAACAACAACAACAACAACAACAACAACAACAACAACAACAACAACAACAACAACAACAACAACAACAACAACAACAACAACAACAACAACAACAACAACAACAACAACAACAACAACAACAACAACAACAACAACAACAACAACAACAACAACAACAACAACAACAACAACAACAACAACAACAACAACAACAACAACAACAACAACAACAACAACAACAACAACAACAACAACAACAACAACAACAACAACAACAACTTTGTGCTGAAGAAAGCCGCAAAATCTTTTTAAAATATTCTCTTTAGGCTGAAATCAACTCTACACACTAAATCACTCTCTCATTAACAAAACATATATCCTGCCTATAATTGAATATGCATTCATTGCTGTCACCCCGCTCTCAATCGCAGCCCCTGACCGGCTTGAGCGAATCCAGCGCAAGGCGTCCAGAATCTGCCTCCGTCTCCCCCTCTACACTCCTCTGAATCATTCAACACTGCTCCATCGGCTCAAATGGCCGACAATGTTCTCTCGCCGCAAAGTGAAGATCACCCTTCTTGCTCACTCCATAAAATACCAATATGCCCCACAACACATACGCATGCTCAGCACCCCCGCTCAAGTTACAGCCCAGTACAGCCTTCGACATGCACGCACTTGGCACCTCCCACCCTCCAGAACCGATCGCTGTAAAGACTCCCCACAGTACAAGTCCCCAGAATGCTACAATGCCCTCCCTGCTAGCATTCGTGACGTCTCCTCCCGACCTGCTTTCAAACAAGAAATCTGCTCACTGCTGATCAACTCAATCTGCTCCTGCAGCGCTCACCCTCTTCCATACTTGTAAAGTTCAAAGTGATGTAAATCACTTTCCAACTGTTTAACCCACAATCTCACCTTCCCATAAATCTATCTCTTATTGGCGATGGTGCCATCGTGAGAATAAAGAATTCAAACAACGATCTTATTGGCGATGGTGCCATCGTGAGAATAATTCAACAACTGGCCGTAGTATCGTGAGAATAAAGATTTGTAACAAGAACAACAACAACAACAACAACAACAACAACAACAACAACAACAACAACAACAACAACAACAGCAACAGCAACAACAACAACAACAACAACAACAACAACAACTTTGTGCTGAAGAAAGCCGTAAAATCTTTTTAAAATATTCTCTTTAGGCTGAAATCAACTCTACACACTAAATCACTCTCTCATTAACAAAACATATATCCTGCCTATAATTGAATATGCATTCATTGCTGTCACCCCGCTCTCAATCGCAGCCCCTGACCGGCTTGAGCGAATCCAGCGCAAGGCGTCCAGAATCTGCCTCCGTCTCCCCCTCTACACTCCTCTGAATCATTCAACACTGCTCCATCGGCTCAAATGGCCGACAATGTTCTCTCGCCGCAAAGTGAAGCTCACCCTTCTTGCTCACTCCATAAAATACCAATATGCCCCACAACACATACGCATGCTCAGCACCCCCGCTCAAGTTACAGCCCAGTACAGCCTTCGACATGCACGCACTTGGCACCTCCCACCCTCCAGAACCGATCGCTGTAAAGACTCCCCACTGTACAAGTCCCCAGAATGCTACAATGCCCTCCCTGCTAGCATTCGTGACGTCTCCTCCCGACCTGCTTTCAAACAAGAAATCTGCTCACTGCTCATCAACTCAATCTGCTCCTGCAGCGCTCACCCTCTTCCATACTTGTAAAGTTCAAAGTGATGTAAATCACTTTCCAACTGTTTAACCCACAATCTCACCTTCTCATAAATCTATCTCTTATTGGCGATGGTGCCATCGTGAGAATAAAGAATTCAAACAACGATCTTATTGGCGATGGCGCCATCGTGAGAATAATTCAACAACTGGCCGTAGTATCGTGAGAATAAAGATTTGTAACAAGAACAACAGCAGCAGCAACAGCACTCCAAAACACCATTTCACTCCTACACAATCGTCCTAGTCTATTAGACCTGTTCATCTACGACCACGTTTGGCAACCACCAGTTATAAAAATTAATAGAATTTTACGACAATCAGATTGACAACACCGACACCACCCTGGTCTGTATGGAACTGTACCCTAAGACATGATGTCATCAGCTCTTTGTCCATATTTGGTGAGAAGAGCGTATCATTGAATGGTGATTGGTTGCATGTAGTGTTGTTATGAGGTAATGGGGTAGTGGGGTAGGTCCCTCATTATGTGTGTAGTCTACATGTGTGAATGTGATTCTTGTCACCAATGTCAACAACACCTTTTATGGTCTCGGTCTGTGCAGAGCGGGACGACATCGTGCAGACGTGTAGCATATCACGTGACAGCACACTGACACACGCACACAGGCAGTGCTGCCAACACGAGATGCCGGAGTTCTGGCTACGGCACACAGCCACAAAGCTAAGCCAGTATTAGTATGTGTAAGTAGACTGCCGTCCGGACCGTGGTCTGCCAGACAGTGAGCTGCATCTCTTGCCATTTACCACATGCATGTAAAGCACGATTCGTTCAAACCGTAGTTTACACCGTTATTTTATCTGCACCGCTCAGTCGTCCATTTCGCACGGCACAGTCCACTGTTAGTTGGTGGTTTTCGTCTCCATCCCTTTCTCATTTCTTGTAAACGTCCTCTAGTGTTGTTGAATAGTTCATACCTACCTTTGTTAGTCGTGCATTATCCTTTCCAGTCATTGTTACTCATTCTCTCAACTACTAATCCAGTCTGTAGTGGCCACAACGCTCTCCCAGTGAATAACAAGTTTAGCATAACGCTCTCTCAGTGAGTAAAAGGTCCAGCATAACGCTTTCCCAGTGAATACCAAGTTCAGCATAACGCTCTCCTTCTCTTAGCGACCTACGTATTCCAGTCAGTCCACTCAGCCAACGTTTGAAAAAGATTTCACGGAACGGACAATTCACTCAGTAAGTAAAATACATCATGTGCTGTAGGTCTATTTAAAATCCCCTACAATGTAGCATTAGTATCACTGATATAGCACACTGTGACTATGTGCCTACTCCAGAGCTAGGTCATCAGGCTGAGTGACACGGTTGAGAACTAGCGTGTGTGCACATGCCTGGTACAAATCCGCTAGGTACTGCACGGATCTGGTTGTCATAATGGGTTCATTTATATTTGCTCCCGTTAGCGACTGGATCATTCCATTCACTCCCCTGTTCTAGCGCCCTGTTACAAGTAATTAGTTAGTTATCGTTCTGGCTATCCAGCTGTGGATCGTTCGGTAGCGGTTCAGGTCAAAGTCCAAAGTTCAAACAGTGAGTTACTTCTTTGCTGCACCATCCGGTCAAAGCCCTCCGCACTTCCACGCCACGGTTCTTCTTTACTCTTCACTGCTACTTGAAGATAACGTTCAAGGATGACTTTCTTGATCTCTTCCCTTTAGACTCGCCACTTGTAGTCGTGTTCGTCTATGAGAAGTTCAACGGTGACTTTATCCATATAGCAAGTTAGATTAGACCATGTTCAGAACTCTCAATAGACAAGAGAAGTTCATCATGTTTCCTACATATGGTGAGAAAGTAGAGAAAGGCAGATCGTTTTCAATGTCATCAACGTTACTCGAGCAAGGAATGTAAGTTACAAATGGTGGCACTCCATCTCTTTCTTTTCGTTTACTTCCCATATTTTCGTTAGTAGTGTCGTCTCGTTGGTCGTTGGTCGTTGGTCTCCATCTTTGTCTTTGTCTCGTGTCACAACGCGACGGTAATTCAGGGACCTACTGATTGACCCGAGTCTTGTAGACGAAGTACTTTTCAGTTCTTTGTAACGAAGGTAGACCTGACGAGCAGGAGGATGGATACTGAGTATTTCTGGTTGCGATCGACGATGGAGATTGTTCGAATATCAAGTGTTTGCTGTTGTTACTGTTCGTGCTTGTAAAGTTGAAGTTGAAATTGTTCCATTCATTTTGGGTAGAGACGTACCTTTCCTCGAACTGTCGTTTTCTTCTCGCATGGTTGTCAACTGTACAGAGTTGGTGTTGTTTGAAGTGGAGAGCAGTATTCTTTCGTCGATAGTTGTCGTAGGCAGTTGTAGTAATGAGGTGTAACATTTGTCGGTGGTTTCTGTGGTTTTTGCTGAGACAGGTAAATTGCATTGTGTTGCAGTGTGTTGTGAAGATGTCCCCGTGATGTCGTTCATTGATCGTCTTCACCTTTTTCAGCTACTGACACAGTCACTGACTGACGTAGCTGCATGTCCGTAGACGTGGGGTCAAAGGTTGTGTCACTCTAAATATGGCATTGGGTATGACGTCATGACGAGTGTGTACGTGTGTGCGTACGCATCAGAGTAGATACAAGTATTGACACGTGAGATAAATCTTGTTTGGATCATTGTGTATGTCATAGTATGTGAGTACTTGTTGTCTGTCTGTGTGTCTGTGTGTCTGTCCATCTGTCTGTCTGTGTCTCTCTGTCTGTCTGTGTGTCTATCCGTCCATGTGTCTGTCTGTCTGTGTGTCTGTGTCTGTATCCGTGTGTGACGGTCTGTTT